CAGTGCAGTGCTGTTTGATGCTGACGGCCTGCGGAAGGCCTCCTGGGCAGTAAAGGAATCCTCCCATCTAGATATTTTTAGCTTCGTTAGATATAAGAAATAACCCAGATATTATAATTTATTCCCATGGGTACAACTCATCCTGATTAATTTAGAAAATGCATCAATGAATTATTTAAAACTACTCTAAAGTAGCAGTTCGTACGGTTTATTTACCGTTAAACTGAAATAAGATCCAATGCTAATTGGGTTACAACTCAAATTTAATTTCAACAAAATTGTTAGCTTCGGTTTGGGTTAAATTTTTTTACTTTTCCGATGGATGGATTCGCATTTTTCACAGTTACATTTTCACAATAATTTTTCTTCTTCGTCTCACTGTTCAAATTCATTTGTGAAACAAATTGCGCCAATGGCTTCCATTAATTTAAATACAATTATGAATGACTTGTGATTTTTTAAATGATCAAAACAAATGACTTGTTCACTTAAAATGTAACAAAAATGTCAGCAAACAAAAACAACAGCTGGCTGAATTTAGGTAGCCTTAGGAAACATTTCATGAGTATTCGCTTTTTGAATGTGATACCGTAAAACTACACAACTATGGTCCGGATATTTCAGATCATAAATTTGTGCTCTCCCCTCTAGTTAATTGAATTATATATGTCACATGTGATAATGTTTTTAGATGAAGTAAGATGTGATAATTTAAATAATCGATATTAAATATAAAGCAATAAAATTTCAAATAACCTTTTTTTAATCACAATTTGGACCATAGTTGCCTGTTATATTGGCAACTTTAGACCGGATTATTATTTGTACTAAAAATGCGTATTGTGGCGTTCTGGATCATAGTTGAAAGCATAAAATTAAACAACTGTAATTAGTAAGAATTGATATATGTTTATATATCAAATTTTTTATACAAAAGTCGTCAAAATTCGTTAAAATTGAACTTTAAGTAATAGAATTATTATTATTTTTGGAATATTAAAGACAATGAAATTTTTTCGTATAAAAAAAATAATAATGAAATCAAATCAATCATATTTTTCTTAATAGGTTTATAGGTAGGTACATATAATTATTTATTTTTTGGTAGACCCCATTTATACTCCAGTTCCGGTACTCGAAACAACGCGTGCTTCGTGCCTAATTTCGATGGGGTTTTGATTGTCGAAATAATCTTCTCCATTGGATAGAATATACAGTCTGGTTTCTCAGGCCACTTCCATGACAATCCACAACGATTCATTCAACTAACAAACGCTCCATCATCATCAACGGTCTTGACTTACCCCGGCCACTGTTCGCATTCATATTTATTTATTTATTTATTTATTTTAGGAAGGCTTACAGACTAATATCTTCGGTAGTAACAAAGTGGTGATAAGAATTGCTAATTACAAGCCTCCACACATTACTTTCATCCAACTTTATACAAATTTAAAATACTCTAGGGATTACTTAAACTACTTACTACAAAAAAAAAATAACATAAGCAAAAAAATAGGCAAAAACAAATTACAAAAAAACCGCATAGTTCAACTTTCCGTGAGACCAAAGAGGTTGCAACATGAGTCATGCTAGTCGCGGCTGTGAGTGAAAAATTCTCTGTTCATCACTTTTTTTACAAATTTAGAACTAGTAGAAAATAGGTCAATATCTACTACAGATGAAAGTTTATTAAATTCCATTGCGCTACGCAGAAAGAAGGAATTTCTTCTATAATTCGTTGAAGCAAGAGGTATATATAGCAGGGGTCGCTGTCTAAATCTCATTAAATCGGTTCGAATCATTATGTGAGTAAGTAGCTCAGAAGAATCAATAGATCCATTTACAATATTAACTAAGAAACAAATATCATTGACTTTACGTCTATATTCCAACGGTAAAAAATGATATCTCTTACATCTTTCTAGATAATTGGCTGAATTTATTTGTGCCTTGAAGTCGAGGTATCTCAGAATTTTTTTTTGTATACTTTCAATACGAGATATGTAAACCTTATACTGTGGGTTCCATACTTGAGATGCATATTCTAAATGGCTTCGCACATATGAGCAATACAAAATCTTAACAACTTTAAGAGAGCGGAAGCAGGATGAAGTTCTTAAAATGAAACCAAGAGCCTTGGATGCTTTGTTGACAATATATTCAATGTGTTTGTCAAATATGAATTTATTATCATGTATTACGCCGAGATCATGAATATGATTTACCCTGCTGATAGTCTGATTATGAAGAATATAACCGAACCCAATACTAGATCTTTGTCGTGTGAATGTTATATGAGAACATTTGGAGATATTCAATTGAAGCTTATTGAGTTTACAGTAATCAGAGAACCTGTTTAGGTCTTCTTGTAATTGTTTAACATCTGTTAGATTATGAATAGTTTTAAGAATTTTCATGTCATCGGCGTAAAGTAGTATGAGAGAATTTTTAAAACATGACTTAATATCGGCAATAAATATTGTGAATAATAAGGGGCCAAGTAATGAGCCCTGAGGAACACCAGATGGGATTGAGCACCAACCAGACATGTAACCACGCAAAACAACAGCCTGCGTCCGATTCTCTATATACGAACAAAACCACCTATACAAGTCACCGTGTATTCCCGAAGCTAACAACTTTTGTAAAAGAACACGATGATTAATACGATCAAAGCACTTGCTGTAATCTGTGTAAATTACGTCTACCTGTGCACGCTGCTCCATACCTTTACTGATGTACTCATTAGCCGTGATGAGATTAGAAGTAGTTGAACGTCTTCGAAGAAACCCATGTTGTTCATCACCCAAATAATTTTGTACTGCATAATAGACTTCATTATAAACGATTCTTTCAAGAACTTTAGAAAACAAGCATAACTTCGAGATGGGACGATAATTTCCGACATTCGACTTGTCGCCTTTTTTAAATACCGGTGTTATGAAGGCAGATTTCCAAACTTGTGGAACTATTCCTTCTGTTAATGACCGCTTGAAAAGTATACTAATGGGTTTGACTAAGCTTTTCGCACAATTTATGATAAATATTGGTGGTATATGGTCGGGGCCACCAGATTTAGAGATGTCGAGGCCTTGTAATAGCTTCAAGATACCTTTATCTGAGACGTGTATTGAGCTAATACTATTAATACTGTAATCAGTTATGGGAAATAATTTATAATCAGAAGTTTCCAATTCTGGTTCAACGAAAGTAGTACTAAAATATTTAGCGAATAAGTCACTAATACCTTCACCAGTGTTTGCAGAAGATTCCTCATAATACATTACATTAGGAGTAGTAGACGCATTATTCCTACTTTTTATAAAAGACCAGAAAATTTTTGGGTTACTAGTTATGGAAGATTCGATTTTATCAATATAGGATTCAAAGCAGACTCGCTCTAACTGGTTAGCCCTTTTACGTAATAGTGAAAAAGATTGGTAGTCGGATAAATTACCATATAACTTAAACTTTCGATGATACTTGTGTTTTTCTTTTAAGACCTTTAGTAGCGCAGAATTATACCATGGAGGGTGTGACGAGCGTCTAGTGGATTTTATGGGAATAAACTGTTCCCTAAGTTCATACAATTTATTATAAAAGAGAGTAACCACATTGTCTAGAGAGTCATTCCCCAAAAGTTCATACCAGTTTACCTGGTCAAGAGCTGAACTAATAGCCACGTAATCACCTTTGTGAAAGAGATAATTGTTTTTCTTTTTATCATCTAGTTTATGTAATTCAACAAAATCAGCCTTTATAACCAAAGGCTTATGGTGCATATCTGGGGGCATTGCTAATGGTTCATAACATTCCTTAACATCTACAAGGTCATTAGAGAAAACCAAGTCAAGTAGTCTCCCATTTATGTTACGTATACAATTATACTGAGATAAGCTACAGGTGTTAACAGAATCAAGGAAAACAGAAATATATTGACAGGAGTGATTGGTTGGTAACAACTCGCCACTATCACTGCAAACATTCCAATCTACTTGACTACCAAAATTGAAATCACCCACGATTATGAATTTGTCGCACGGATTAGACAGAATTATGGTATTAATATTTTGTGTGAAATTTAGCAATTGGGTATTATATGAGTTACCGATATTTTCACTACACAGGTAAAGCGCACAAATGTTTATATTGTATGTCACTGGCGGCCTGGATCTTTTTAGCAAAATAGAGACCCAAATATATTCCGCTGAAATACGCCAGTGACCCCTCTCCACTACCGAAAGATCATTCCTCACTGCAATTAGTACACCACCCCCCCGCGTTTGTGACGTGCTACAATAATTGCGATCCCGCCTCCATACTAAATATCGGTCATCAAATAATTCACTGTTATGTATACTATCGACCAACCAAGTTTCGGTGAATATAATAATATCATACGAATTTAAACATACGTTCCTAAATAAGTTAAGTGTTTTTGTTCGTAAACCGCGTACATTTTGGTAATATATTTTAATCGATTCCGTGATTGAGCTTAACTATGACTAAATATCTTATCACAATACAGCAATTCAATAAAAGAAAATGAAATAGTAAAATAAAAGGAACATTTAAAACAAAGAACAAAAATGCTATATAAAAGCGGGTAGATAATTCATAAACGTAGAACAATGCGCTGTAATATGCAACACGCGATTCTCGAATGCTTACGACCACGACCAATGACCAATAAGTAAAATCAATAGTATATATAGTACAGAAAATCAACAAACAAACGTCTTTCATATTTGATAGTAAATTAATAGACCAAAAGCGAACCCAGTTATATGTAATAAGATTTAAAAATAGTTTATCCACATTGGTAAGATGTTTATAAATTATAATGTAAATTAATACGCAATTGCACAACAAAATGAATACGTTAACACGCCGCGACAGCGCATGGATCTCAAACTGCAATGTTACAAGTTTCGAGTAATACAAAAACAAATTATGAATAATGGTAGTAATAGAACAAAGAGATAATAAGTTTAACATCACACTATTTTTGTAAGGTCTCTTTCTGACTTCACCATAATTATATGCGACGTATCGGTCTTTCTTACATGTATCTTGGCATGCTTGACCCAGACATAACGAAAATTCATTTCAACCGCTGCCTTTTTAGTTTTAGAAAGTAAGGTCTTATTTTGCATGGTTAGGTGGTCATTGATATAAATCCTATTATTGCCCACAAATCCTATGTTGCCTGATGTGAAATGACTAGTTTTCGATGCATATCTGGCTGCCGCCACAAAATCTTCCTTCACATATCGATTGCAGAAACAGATTATTATCGGTTTGTTATGCTCTTTCTCACGGGTTGGTACTCTTGTAACGAAATTTACCTGAGTCTTTGTAATCGGATATTGTATCTTAGACCCAATTTTGGATATGATTTCAAACAAATTTTCACCGCTTGCCTGAGGTACTCCCTTTATTTCAACATTATTCATTCTTGACCATTGCTCCGCAGAGTTCGACTCCTGCTCCAGTTTTTCTAACCGAGTCTGAATTAGGTTAGCATGTTTTTGCACTTTCTCGATCTGTACTAGACGCTGTTCGAAGTCCTTAATTTTGTTATTAAATTCTTTTAGCGCCACGTTAGTATTATTTAGTGAAGATTTAAGATCAGCAAATTCAGTTCTCAAGGCAATGACTTCATCTTTAAGACATTCTAATGGCGCCAGTTTATCAGAGAGAGCTCTTATCTCCTTAAGTATTAGTGCATCGGATTCGACCTTTGGTGATAAAGGAGGCTGGATAGAGTGAGTTTGTTTACACTTGACACATCGCCAGGTAGACTTCCTATCTCCCAGCTTGCGATATCCAGCTTCAGTTATTCCAGCACAGTGAAAATGTAGTTCTTGATTGCATACAGTACAGTGAGGACCTTCTGATAACAACTCCCCACATGCACCACAATTGTGAGTGTCCATTGTGACAGGTATTAACAACTTATAAGCTTAGATAATAAACAGTTTGAGAAGCACTGGCTAAAATTGCACCGGTTGCACCAATCGGAGCAAATAGTAAATGCGACCGAACGATACGGAGCGAAAAAAATGACTGATTATGATATTCTATGATGATGATATTCTACTAAAACATAATTGTCTGGCTTGGGAATAAACTGCGTAGCATTCGGGATGTCAACGGCAGTCGCTGCAGATTCATCTGCGATGAATTCATCCGAGAGATTAATGTTAGAGTCTGAAGCATACTGAATTTCACCTTCGTCATCGGTTTCACTCGAAGAATCTTAGATATTTTTTTTAGGTATTCGTTTAGGTGTTTTTGCTGTCTTTTTTCTAATAGAATGCTCAGGTTCTTTTGATGTGCTTGCCTGTATTTGTATATCTTCTGCAGATATATACCCGCTGGTACATTGAACTTCTTCTTTCGTCCTTTACCGCCTGATTTCACCACTCCTATTGTTTTATTTTCTAAAAATTATATAAATGATTCAGAAACCAGTACCGGGTCTTGAAGTGGAGCATCTGGATGTCTAAACGTAGGTAAGCGTTGTAATACTGAAGCTTCATCAGTCGGAAAAATACCGGTTTTCTTAAAGCCAGCTTTGAGATTATTTTGAGTTGTCAATGATATTTTCCCACAGCTTATTTAGCAACGTAGAAAACGTGTTTTTAGGAATAGTGGGTAGTCTTTGCCCTTCAAAGTCTAAGATTTGACGCCAGCGCAGTTTACGTCAAAGGCTGTGGTGTAAGGTGGGTGCTATTTGGTGGTAAAGCCACAAATACGATATTATGAGACTTGCATGCCTTTAAAACTTCCATATTAATATGAGAACTTAAGTTGTCCCCAATGAGACGCTCCTTCCCTTCTTGCTTACGTAAAGTGGATAGAATCAATGAAAAGAACCAATCCTCGAATGTACTAGTGTCAAACCAACCGAACTTTGATGGATTGTAACGAGTGACAGGTGGCCCACCCTCTGTCCACGTGCTCCACATATTGTCTGACTTGTAGTTTACGTAAGGTGGTAAATTTTCTTCAGCAGCATTGTCACATATCATTAAACTAACGGCTGCTTTCGTTGAATTTTTTATAGCTTCCGGATATTTACATCCACGCTTCTTAAGCACTTTTTTCTTGCTTGGTTCGTCAACAAGTTTGGTGTCATCGTAATTATAAACATTTTCGGCTGGAACTTCTTGAATTTCAGTCTTCAAATGCTCAAAATACGTCCGAATCTGCTCGTCGTCTACAGCTGCTCTCACCCTCTTTATAATAGAACAAAACCTTTAAGATAGTTCATTTTTGTGGCGTCTCAGAAAAATATTCGCAAAATCCTTAATTAAAAAACGGTAATAGGGAAACCGTAGTTACACATTTCGATTGCATGTTGGATGAAAGCAGTTTCTTCGGTATCAGAAAAGATACGCTGACGGCCTGGTTGTCTAACTTTATTTGTTCGTATTGCTTTTAATTTCAAAATAATTGAACTTCGAGGAATTTCATATTTTTCAGCAGCTTCGCGTTGAGTTAGAATTTTATTTGTCATATCTGATAAACATAGTTCCATCTGCCGTTCACTATAACACTTATAAGCCCTCCCTCCAACTTTTATTCACATCAACTTATCTCGTGACAACATTTTCTGTAACAAAATAAATTAGTTTTAATTATGGTCCAAAAAACCAGTAGGACCATAGTTGAGATCCAAGAGGGCACTTACGAGAAAAAAATCAAAGGTGTATTTATACAATAAACTATACGTAAAATGAATGCCAGAATCTTAACTTACCATATGAATCCAATTCTAAAACTTTGTCTTCACTTTAACCAATATTTTCAAATAAAAATTGACGGTATTCAGTTAACGCGTTCAAACAGGTTTTTATCGGAGAAGGTCTACTAATTTGAATTAGAGAGACATCTGTTGTCCATGAATATAACTACAACGAACAGACTTCAAGAAACGAAAATAGTATAAAATAATAAACTACATGTCGCTACACGTCCATACAGCTTCAATTTTGTCGGATAGTTTTATTGGACTATAGTTGGGACCCTGCACTATAGTTGTGTAATTTTACGTTAGTTGAAAATATTTTTTTAAATAACTTAGAATTTTAGTTTTCAACCATTATCAAATAGAAGTGGGTTATTATATATAACTGTTTTAATTTTAATACATGTAAGTAACACAATATATCTCGGGTTGGTTAACTGATTTTGCCTGCTGTTATATGAATACCCATATAAATTTCAACTAGATCCGATGATGATCGAAGAAATTTTAAAATATTCATTTTAATAACCCAACCATCCTGTGACTGAGTATTATACACATAAAGTGAGCAATTCTGAGAGCAAATATATAAATTTCATGTATTTTATTGTATACAATTCTTGTAAGGCGGCTATTACGATTTTAATGAAATATTGTATTTGGATATTATTTTACTCTCCAAAGATACACCGAGTATAAGTAAAACTAAGTGGGTTTCATACCTGAGAAAATTATGTTTTTTTCTAACGCCGAGCAAATCTCGGTCACGTAGGTTTTATTTTTTTTAAACTGGCATTTTATTAGTATTTTTTAGAATAAATTTTTAGAAGAATTTTAGAGAAGTCATTTTTTGTTTACCACTGGTTCGGAAAATACCTCTGTCCTGGGAAGAACCAGCAAGAAACCCAGCGGGACTTTTTTTTTTCAAACATATTTCACTTACCAATAATTTCGTTTATACAATTTTGGAACCAGCATGGTGGCGATCACCATATTCCCAGGGGTTATTTTCATTCACGTATTCCTTGATATTATAATGACCCTTTTTGTAAAGTTTTTCTTTAATAAAAATTTTAAACTTGTTTATTGACAAAGTTTGAATACGATCTGGGATTTTGTTGTAAAAGCGTATACATTGCCCCGTAAATGAATTACTGATTCTGTGGAGTCTAGTAACTGGCATTACAAGCTTATGTTTGTTCCTAGTGATTAAAGTATGTACATCCTTATTCTTATTATAGCTATTTATGTTTTTATGTACATACATTACATTTTCATAAATATTTTGCGATGCGAAGTTAATATGTTTAATTCTGTAAATTTTTGTATGAGGGACTCTTTACAATTTAGGTTATAAATCACCCGAACGGCTTTCTTTTGCAAAAAAATATAGCTTCAATATCAGTTACATTACCCCATAGCAAAATTCCATAAGACATTACGCTATGAAAGTAACTAAAATACACTAATCTAGCTGTCTCAACATCTGTGAGACTTCTAATCTTTCTTACAGCATATGCTGCAGAACTAAGTCTGCTTGCTGATTTAGATATATGGAGGCCCCTTTGAAGTTTCGCATCAATAGTAATACCGAGAAAAACAGCGGTATCCACAAGACGCAACTCCTCCCCATTTAACAGCACATTGGTATTCGAATGTTCTAAATTAGGTATTGTAAATTTAATACACTTTTTATTATTGCCGTTTCAGAGCATATTGTTGCCGTTAAACCAATGTACTAATTTCGATAGAGCATTATTTACATCATCATAATTAATTGACTACCGTTTGAGTTTGAAAATTAAAGAGGTATCAGCAAATAACACTATATCGTGATTGTCCCCTACAAGATAAGGTAAGTCATTAATATAGATTAAAAACAGGAAGGGGCCAAGAATCGAGCCCTGAGGAACGCCCATTGATACTACCGATCTGGAGGAACCTTTACCATTGATCACGGCTTTTTGAGTTCTGTTACTTAAATATGAAGTAAGAAGTCTAAGCGACAAATGTTGTAGTTTCCTGATTAATGTCTCATGATGAACACAATCAAAAGCCTTAGAAAGATCACAAAAAATACCTAATGCATCTTGTAAATTCTCCCAGGCATTAAAAATATATTTCATAAGCTCAACACCGGCGTCAGACGTCGAGCGACATCTTGTAAAACCAAATTGGTTTTTATGAAGTAATTTATTTGTATTAAAAAAAAAACAATTGATCCAAAATAACTTTTTCAAAAAATTTACTGAGAGTTGGTAGTACAGAATTAGGTCTAAAATTTGCGGGGTCCAATGTACTACCAGTTTTAAATGAAGGTATTACTTTACTATACTTCATTAAATCAGGAAATACACCAGAATCGATACAAGTATAAAAATAATAGCAAGATGAGGTGCAATTAAATCTATTATGGACGCAATAACTGTAACGGATATCCCCACAAATCTGCGATTTTCGTTACGTCAATGGTTTGGAAGTATTTTACAATATCTTGCGGTAATACTTTTTTAAATTTTAATTTTTTTAAACAGGTTTTAAACATTCTGTTTGAGTAATGACTCAGAGACAGTTGGAGAAGTATTCAATGACTTAGTAGTCAAGATAGGAATATCAGTGAAATATTTCTCAAACACCGCTGCGACTTCTTAAATTTGATTGAGTCAATTCATTGTTAACTTTTAATTGATAATTTGAGTTACGAGGTTTGTTTTTACTGGTTTCGCTGTTAATTATACTCCCACGTCATTTTACTTTTATTCTTAGCCGTCTTAATTTTGTTGCTAATGTGTAACGACTTGGCTGTGGAGCAAACACTTTTAAACATTTTAGAATAATTTTTGACATATTCTTTAAAAGCATCGGAGAGATTATATGATCTATCATGGTAAAGGTCATATAACCTTCGTCTGCTTTTATGAATTCCTACTGTCGCCCACTCACTAAATGCCTTGCGACTGTTTCTGGAGAATGTTTTAGAAGTAAATGTTTTTTTTTAAGTTCATTGCTTATAATGGTAAATAATTCTCCATATAAGTAGTCTGCATTCTTCTTATAAGAAAGCGATGGAAGGTTTTTTACCATATTACTTCTAAATCTCTCCAGGCGTTTTGCATTAACCCTTAACCACTGACGTGTATTTACATACATTAAAACTGACGTACGTCTAACGGACGTATGCTT